GTGGAACCCGTAGCGTGACGCGAATGACGTAGGCCTACGTCACAGCGACGTCACAGTGTCCTACGTCATTCGCGTCACGCTACGGGTTCCACACGGCTCGGAGCATGGCCGCTGCGCAGTAGACTTTCGCCACGCCGTGATATATCGTCCTTCCTTCCGCCTTCGTCGTTGAATTCTCACCGGTTCAAATGCGCGTTCGCGACAAGTGTGTGCAATATTCGTTTCCGACAGTGACGGGGGATTATTTGTGCGTGAGATAATGCGTGCGGAAGCCGGATTTAGTTGCGATCTTGTCGATGAACGTTCTCGATCGCCTCTTTCGTGCTTTTCGTTGCGATCGAGCACAGTGGAATTGCGAAGTTAGTCGCATTCGCGGAATATCGGAGGCTAAATGAGGTGAATCTTGCGTTTCTTTTCGTCGAAATTATGAGAATATATATTTTCGTGCGTATATTGAGTCTCGTGTGTATGTGTAATGTGCTTCAGGTGCAGTGAAGGGAGAAAACGAAAGCGGAGGATGTCTAGCCAATGGATCTTCAAAGTGTCCAGCAACGGCCGCGAACGAACTTTCCGTCTTCACCGTTCGGACACAAAAATTGAGTAATCGGATCGGATTTGTCAGGTACGCATTTCATTTTTGACTCATTATGCGTCGTCTTGGCATTCGAGATCATATTTTAGGCGGTAGGTCATACAGTCCATCGAAAATTGCTCGCGTTGTGACACTTTTCTACGGCTGCTCGCACAAACATATAGCGTCTTTCGTCGTGAATTTCGTCAATTCAAACGCACGAGTGCGGCAAGTGTCTGCGATGCTTGTTTGGAACGACGCGATCGTTTTTGAGCTCCGGGTAATTATACAACGCGGGTAATTATTTATTAGAATATCATATCCCACCTTTTACATTGTTATTACATTGTTATACATCGGTGGAACATATTTGATATTATTTTATTATTTCAAATACTTCGTGTTAATTATATAATGTGATGTCAAGAAGCAAGAAGTTAAAAGAGGTTTTTACTAGCGCGGTTTTTTTTACATAATCTTTATTCAATTATTAATCTTTATTCGATTATTCGTATACTTATTATCCTGGTACATTTCGCGCTTTGCTTTTGGCATCTCTGGCACTTGTTCAATACTATATTACTTGCATGGTTCTTTTAAACATAATTAATAATTATTCGCGTGGGATATTTTTGATATTCCGACATTATGTCTCAATTTTTATTATTCCTTTTAATGATTCATATTTAAATGAAGTTTGATAGAATATTCCATATATTCTTTATATAAGGATATATGTAAATTTTTAATTAATATCGCGAAACAATTTACGCTAAATACAGCTTTAGCTAAAAGTATTAAATATCTTGTTAATCACTATTTAATTTTTCAGTTAATAAATTAATTTAGGACACTACTGTTGCTGCAAATTATTGTGTGTTTCAAAAATTCTTTAAACTTAGTTATGTAATGCCGATCATACGACTTAAAATAAAAAATTTTAATTAAATTTCAGAAACTTATTTAAATTATAAAATCGTAGGAATCGGTAAAAAAATTGATACGACTTATTTAAAATTAAAAAAATAAAATAGATTCGGGAAACTTATTTAAAACTCTAATAAGAAATAAGTCAGAAGTGTAGTTATTTAAAATAATAAATACTATAAATAACTCTTTTATATTTTTAATTTTAAAAAAATATATATATATATACTTTAAATAACTTTATTCAACCCTTAGTACACATCTTAGTTTTGGGTACTTACATACGGAGAGAAGTTTTTTTCTTAAAGTTTACCTTATAAAAATATGATAATCGTGAAACAACATTATATTTCGAAGAATATTAATGTAAATCTCTCTCATTCAATAATAAAACTACAATAATGTATAAAATCAGTTTGATTAATTTT